TCTCTAAAAGGAACAGGGCTTCTCGGAGAAATGGCTGATTCCAGAATTAGGGGAGGAAAAATACAAAGTGGGGTTTGAACATCTTGTTATGCCACAAAGGAAGGAAAAAAAGCAATAGTGACGTGTCAGAAGTATACAGGAGCTAGCTTGAAGGTGCTCTCATCAGTCAAATCTAGGACAAGTTGAGCATCCAAATGAATGCTGTAGAGAGTTTAAAAAGAATACGCAAGTTTGTACTGATACTAAAACGAGGGGCCAGGTTGTGGATAAGAGTTCTCCCTATAAGAAGAATACTAATTAATAAATGTAGAAGAAAGGATAGAATTAGAAAATCACCATTCAACAATCACTGTGGTGATAATTCAAGCACGAATGGATGCTAAAAACACGAGAAGAAGGATTGTTATAGAACAGGATACCTACAGATTACTTGCTAATTACAAAGAGTAGGAGGTTAAATTTACAGTGGAGAAATCTGTCTGGTGCCACCTTACTCAGATCATCAAACTTAACATCAGAAATAATGACACAGACTGATATCATGTGCACATGTGTAGTATTCTGAGAAAGATACTTCACTTATGTCATTTTCATGCCCAGATGTTTGACCTACCTGATTCCCGACATGAAGAAACAATCAGGCAATTCAAATGGAGAGACGTTTCATGAAACAGTTGGTCTGGACCGCTAAAAAAAGAAAATCAGTGTCATGAAGGATATAACAACAACAAAAAGACACAGGTGACTGTTCCCTGAATAGACAAAGAGACTAAAAAGACATGACAACTAAAAGCAGTGCGTGTTTTGTGACTGGATACTGTCATATGAGAACGAGTGTTCTTAGGAGACATATGCTAATGTGTTTAGGGGCAATGTGTCACGCATGACATCTGAAACTTACTCTCAGAAAAGAGAGAGACAGAGAATATGGAAAATGTTAACTTTTAGTGAGGCTAGGTGAAGGGGTTATGAACATTCATTGTGCTATTCTTGCAAACTCAATGTAGATTTTAAATTTTTCAAAATAGAAGTTGGGGAGGTGTTATGGATTGAATTGCGTCCCCCAGAAATATGTGTTGTAAATCTTAACCTCCTTGCCTGTGGTTATAATCCCATTTGGAAATGAGTTGGAATCGACTCCATAGCAAGGGGTTTGGTTTTGTCTGTTATGTTAATGAGACAGGATTAGCGTAGGGTGTGCTTGAGTCCATCTCTTTGGAGATATAAGAGAGATTAAACAAGCAATTGAGCAAACAAGAGATAGGGGAAGATTGATACCAAACCACATGGAGATCTCCAAAGAACCAGGAAACAAGCTGAAGAGACAAGGACCTTCCTTGAAAGCTGACAGAGAAAGCCTTCCCCTAGAGCCAGCACCTTGAATTTGGACTTCTAGCCCCCCAAACTGTGAGAAAATAAATTCCTGTTTGTTAAAATCATCCACTTGTGGTATTTCTGTTATAGCAGCACTAGATAACTAAAATGCGGGAAGGGGATAAAAAAATCTTTAACAAAAATGACATGAAAGTCATATATGAGCTTTGGAAATTTATTTATGAATAGTAGTTGCATAATGAACTTTGTTCCCATTGAACAATGCACGTGTTTTCTAAACTATACATTTACTCAGTGGCATATATTTTCATTTTACAAGAACGAATAGAAGGGTATAATTAGATGAACAATTTGTGCAATGATTATAGAATAAACTAAAACGTCATATTTCTGAAAGAGGTTAATTTTTATATGATTCTATCATATTTTACCTAGTTTTTAAAACTCTCTTACTTTATTTTTAATTTTTATTATACAAAATTAGCTACCAGTTGGAATATTTAAGGGTCTAATATCAAACTGGGTGATAAACAAGTATGGACATTTTGTAACATTACTATCCTCCTAGCTCAAAGTATCCTATCTTCAAGCAGAAAAAGTATAATAGGCTTGTAAAAAACTGAGCTCCTGACACTTTCTCCAAAATTTGCTTCCACCAAGGCCTTCTCCGTCTCAGTTAATGTCAGTTTTTGTCCTTCAAGTGACCGGGAAAACACTTCTAAGTCATCCTTCTGTCCCATCTTTCTCTCATACCTCATATCCACTCCACCACAAATCCTATTGGCTTTAAATGTAATGTGGAATTCTGATGAGATTCTGAACAGAAAAAGGACATTAGGTAAAAACTAATGAAATCTGAATAGTCTGGAGTTTGGTTCATTAATCGTGACAGTGTACCATAACAATTATAAAATATTAAAAATAGGGAAAACTGGTGTGGGATGTTTGGGAGCTTTCTGTACTAACTTTGCACCTTTTTTGTAAATCTAAAACTACTCTAAAATACCAAGTTTATTTAAAAAACAATCAAAGGAGCAGTCTGTTAGTCTCTGGTTCACTTGGGCCTGGGGTGGGGTAGGAGGGGAGCAGATTTGTCATCTTACTGGTAATTTTTCACAATTTAATTGCACCAAGAAAAACTGATGACCTCAAATCAGTTCAGTTTTTCCGTAATAATTTTGCCGGATAGTTTATCTTAAACAAATACATAGTTTTGCTTAGTTATTCTTCCTGAAGAACAAAGTTCTCTAAGCCTAGAAAAATACTACAAGATCTGTTTTTTAAGATTTTGCTGTAATTTTGTATATACTACTTAAAGCATGAAAAATCTATCTTTACTTTAAATAGAATACATTGCTCTGAGTTAAAAATAATAACGTTTTTTATTTAAAAAAAAAAAGACAAGACTGCCCTGCTAGAGGCTGGGGTTGGTGGTGGGGAGTGCAGGGCTAGCAAAGGCTCTAAAGAAATGAATTTGAGGGTTGTAGGATGGTCTGTAGTATGGGGAGTTAATAAAAATTCATCCCTGTTCCTTACACCTCCATGGATGCCTTACCTGCTACCACTCCCACTGGAGCTATCAGCAGTCAGCGGGTGCCTTTCAAGATTGAGAAAGCGAAAACAAAGTTGTCTAAATGCTTTCAGAAGATCTCTGACAGCCCAGCTGGATATGTTCAAAGCGTAAGGTGGGCAAACAAAGGTGACCATGGAGGTCCCACACCCACAACACACCCAGAGGGGAGCAAGCACTTCATCATTTATCTGAAAGGAGGAGGAGGCTGGGCATGTGACTGCCAAAGACAAATCCAGCTTTGTAATTCTGATATGATTGCCACACAAGTGAAAGGGAAAGGTGAAGGTGACATTTCATCCTGTCCCAAGCTCATCCTCTCCTTACCTGACCACTGAAACGGAGCCATTGACCTTGAAAAGCCCAGTGTCTAAAATTAATGTTCTTCCCCATCTGACTAAGATGGAACAGCTGAGCAATATGAGATCGAGGACCATATTATTTTAAACAGGGGCTCGAAGTGGCATTTGAGACAGAGGATACTTCCTTTCATAGCGAGACGTGTCTACTGATAGTAAAGGCTTTTACCAGAGAATTCCACAGCCGGTTTGAATTCTACAACATTTCCTTTTATTTGTGGAATTTACTCTACACTTGGAGTGGGCCAAACTCTGTGATGTCCTCCTATAAATGGTAATTACCCTATTTTTTTTTTAAATTGTTACAACCTCTTAAATCTCCTTCTCTTTCTCTCTGTGTTGCCTTGAACAATAAGTTGTACTAAACTTCAGGTGCGGTTTATATTTTTTATTATATCTTAGCCATAAGCTTTTATTTTAATACGTTAATTTTAATGTGGCTTCCTGATCAAATTTGAGTACAATCTGCATGAAATATTGTATTTTATTCATAGTTTGCCTTAGAAATATCCATGCATCTGTTTCCCTATTTTAATAATGATTATCTTTCAGGACAATTTGAAAGATTACTAATAATGGTCTATAATGTATCTATAGAGCTCTGGTTAATAATTTTTCAGGTTTTGATTTGTTTGAATGCAAGCTCTTTACGTGGCGAAGTAGAATTTTGTAGAGAATTAAATCTTAAATACTTTGGAACTCAAGAGTATTCTTTTATTATATGAGTTGAGGAAATGAAAGTGTTTTGGAGATAATCATAGATGATTTTTAAGTTGAGAAAAACTGTAACTAGCAATTTTTTAATAAAAATCTCCAGCAGGGGCCCCCAGGATTCAGCAGTGAGAACACAGCGCATATCCTAGTCTCAGTCTCTCTCCCTCTCCATCTTTCCACCTTTCCCTACGGGATCAAGTGATGTGTAGATGCATGCACATATGTCTCTAGCAACAGAGTGGTGTCACGTGCTATGTGTATTATTTACTTTGTGAGAAAAGTATTTCAAGGAAAACACAGGATGCTAGACTCCATAGCCTTTAATGAAAATGCCAAGCAAGTATCTAGGTACCTTCTCAATGTGAGAAGGCTGTAAGGAAACAAATTTCTTTTTGTTAAATAAACACCAACTGTTTTAAGGTATAGGCAGAGAAAAGTTTTGGAGATGGAATCATTTGGTGGAGACAATTCCCAAGAAGGAGGTAAACTTCCAGGGCAGTGTGAGATAGCCCTTCCAGGGATGGGGACTACACTGGCACAGAAGGCCATTTGCAGCCCCTCTCCAGGACAGGACCGACACCTGTGATCCCCAACAAACCCAAACAAACTGTAGAGTCTATATTTAAGCTGGCCAGTAGGTGCAGATCTTATTTTAGATAATAAGGGCATATTTAGTCACCGAATGAAACTTAAGCTTGTTTCTTGCTGTTTGCTTTTGTAGAAAAATATGAAAAACAAAAAAACTTTTTCCTTTCTAAGTTCCAGCATTTGAAACTGGATATTAATATTAGTATTTCTCTTCCTAATTTTAGGTTCTCTCTCCGGCTTAAATAAAAGAGACTTCAAAATTCTCATTGGTCATTTTCCCAAAAAGTCATATATGTAAATAAGTGATGAGTACTTTCTTTGTTTCCTTTCTTAACAGCCAGGAAAAAGGGGCACTGAAAAGTCATGATTGCGTCATGATTTACAGACTGGAGACAGAGACAGACGAAAACCACACTCCAGACAGTAACCTAGTCGGGCTCCCTGCCACAATGCTAACGGTGAACAGGCTGGAGGAAATCAACACCTGCTACAGCAGCACCAGGCTGGGGGAAATGGCCTTTTTTCAGTGCATGGAAAAGGTAGAGAAAGTGAAATGTTTTCTGGAAGAAAATTTTAATGAACAGGATTCAAGGTTCGGAAAGAATGAGGTAACTATCTGCTAATTTAGTCCCCTAGAAAGTGTCAGTTCTACACTATGTTTTCTGATATCATGTAGCCATTTATTAGGCCCTTTTCAAATTCTATGTTGTCACTTGTGTCTGGAATTAAGGAAAGTTTATGAATAGAAGAATTTCCATTGTGTTTCCCTGAAAGTTATTTGTGTAAACTGTCCATTTCTGCTTCGGTCAAGAGTTAAGAGGGTTGTGAGGATGTATTTCTACCTGCAGCCACTCCATGGTGTGCTTACTGGCTCAGAACTTAGGAAAGCAAACTTATGGGAGCACTCATTTAAGAAGAGTCATTTAAAGTGATGAATTTGGGCTTGAAGTTCAGAGAGGTACTGTGAGGGCACAACTTGGCTGCTGAAGAAGCTTCTAATTTCTGCAAGACCATGCATGAGCTATCGAGGGCACGTGGCAGAGCTGCTGACTGGGCAGCTGTGTTCAGAGAAGGGGCAAGCATGCCATGCATGGCTGTGCTGTGTGAAGTCCACATCCTCATGTGTGCAGAGCATGGGTCTGAGCCCATTCCAGTGGCCTGAACTCTGACAAGTTACTAACCTCAGCCTTGGTTGCCTCATCTGAGTAATGGGATGATAGTAGTCTGTATCTCATAGCGTTGGTGTGAACACTAAGTGTGATGAAGTATATAAAGCACCTAGCACCAAAAGTGTCACCATAGTAAGCATTCAATAAACGCTAGCCATCGTCATCATCATCATCATCATCATCATCGATCCCTCCCCTGCCTTGGCTTAGTCCGTTCCCACTCATCAATCCACACTTAAAGAGTTCCTTGCTCACAACATTTTGTCCGAGCCTTTATTCTAGCACATGTCATTGTTCTGAATGTGTTTACACCTTTCCTGAAAGAGTGCTCCTCCGGGTCAGGCCCCTGTTACTCACTGTGCATCCTTAAAGGCACCAGTGATATCTACTGGATGGATAGATCTATTTCAGCGAATGCAAAGATCTGTCAAGCTCTAGTTAAGAGAAACAGAGGACAGTCCCTGAGTGGTGCAAATGGTTAAGAGCTCAACTACTAGCAGAAAGATTGGAGGTTTAAACCCATCCAGAGGTGCCTCAGAAGATAGCCTGGTAATCTGGTTTCGAAAGGTCGCAGCCTTGAAAATCTTATGGAGCAGTTCTACTCTGCATATGTGGGGTCACCATGAGTTGGTGTAGCAAAACATGTAGACAAGGCAAACAATTGAGGGAGCACAAACAAACCTAGACAGCAAAAAGCAGAGATACATAGAAGACTGACTTACATGTGTGAACATTTCTGTCTTGTGGACTTTTAGAATTTTACAGAAAAAACAAGTTAACAGTGAATTATGTCTGTCAGCTGTGAGCATAAGGAGGTATCACCCTTTGGCACTGGTATCTGGAGCGGTCTGGCTTGAAGCCCCAAGGTCCCACTGGAGCCACTTGCTTCCCTGTGAATTCTGTCATAGTCATTATCAATCAATAAAGATAATTATAAGAATGATAACACAAAAAGTCAGCTGCTTGGTGAAATTACATCCTGCATCCAGGACTTTGGTTGATGCTTTATAAGGCTTTTGACAATGTTTGAATAATAGAGAGCGGTTGCTTAGATCTCCAGTCTAAAAGCCAGAAAACTCTCATGAGATAAGATTTACCACAGAAAATCACCAAACCTTGATGTTAATTATTGTGCTTTTAGTTTACGCTCTGGTGCAGGCTTTGCAGCTTTTCACATGATAAACCAGGAATTTAGCATCTCCCTATTTGGGACAAACATGGTTTTAAGTACCCTCTTACAGTCTGGATTAGTTTCAACCTCAGCTTAAATGAAAGGAAAAATTTAGTGACTTTTTTTTAAAAATGATAGTGTCGAAAGAAAATCTACACTGAGGTAAAAAACGCCTCTGGGTCAGTATAGCATTTAGGCCCTAAGCTCACACACATGCGGCCCCCAGCCAGCTCAGTCTGTGCTTGTCACCCCAACACCAATGTTCAGGTTGGCCTTTTTCACTCCCCAAATGACCAGATTTATATGGTAAGTTACCCATCTGCTCCACTAAAACCCTGTCCCACTCCCGTGTCAAGATTGCCCTCAGAGAACAAAACCAAGGGATGTGAAAGACTTTTGAAAGGGTGACCATTTGGAAACAAATCTAGCAGTAGCAGCAGGGAACGGCTCCATATCCTGAGCAAGGAGAAGGCTCAGCATCCTGGGCAGGAGGTCCCAGCCACATAGGAACCGTAGTCCCACCCAAGAAAGAGATATGGTCTCTCCCCATCTAGACTATGCACATCTAAACCATCATTTTTGCTGGGTTCGGTAGGGACACTGAAGTAGAAAGGAGAAGAAAAACAGACATGATTATGGATTTCTGTCTTGACTAGAATTACGTTTCTGTTGGAGCCTCCCCAGTAAGTGTTTCTCTGAGGAGCAAGGAGAAAAGCCACGTTGGTCCTGCTACAGAAGGCAGAAGGTCAGACTCTGTGTCTAGAGCTTCACCGAACAAGGAGGAAATGCAACTGAGGATGCAGGGCACTCCTTCTGGGAGCCTCGGACCCTGCAGGGTCTCGCAGGGCTTAGGAAGACAGTTGACAGGGAGCAAGGGGGTAGCTGTACTACTTACTGCTGAAATAGTCCCTTGAATGTATAAAAACGAGTTGCTGTAAGTAGATTTCACTCATGGCAAACCCATGTGTGCTGCATAGGGTTTTCAGGGGCTGATTTTTGGAAGTAGACCACCAAGCCTTTCTTCCTAGGCACCTTTGGGTGGACTCAAACTTCCAACATTTTGGTTAGCAGCTCAGTGTGTTAACCATTTGCACCACCCAGGGCTCCTCAAATGTATAAATTGTGCAAATTTGTACACTGGGCTCTGAACACTAGTGCCAGGGGAAACTGGGGTGAGCTGTGGCCTCGCCTTACTCTCCTCCTTAAATGTTTCTGGCTTTGTTTGTTTGTTTGGGAAGGTATTTTTAACTCAGATTTTAAAAGTTGTAACAATGTTATTACACACACCCACTATTTGAAGAACTAGTGGTCCCCTTCCAACATCCTCCACCACCAGGCTCATTGCCCAGGGACCACCCTTCTAGGGGGCAGTCAGGTAATTGCACTGGAAATTTGATTTCAGTTAGATGAGGGTCTGTATGCCACAACAGTCAGGATATCAAATGATGCATTGCATTGAGAAAATCTGCTGCAAAAGACCTCTTTAAAGTGTCAAAAAGCAAAGATGTCACTTTGAGGACTAAGGTGTACCTGAACCAAGCCATGACATTTTCTTTTTCTTTTTTTTTCAAAACATCTTGCACTCATCAAAATCAATTCTATATTTTGTCAAATGAAGATTTTTCTTTCTTTCTTTCCTCTTACTATATTTATTTTTCTTCAAATAATTTTTAATTGTACTTTAGATTAAAGTTTACAGAGAAAACTAGCTTCTCATTAAACAGTTAGTCTACATATATATTGTTTTATGACATTGGTTAACAACTCCATGACATGTCAGTACTTTCGCTTCTAGACCGTGGGTTCCCTATTACCAGCTTTCCTCTTCCCTCCTGCCTTCTAGTCCTTGCCCATGGGCTGGTGTGCCCCTTTAGTCTCATTTTGTCCTATAGGTCTGTCTAATCTTTGGCTAAAAAAGTGGGCCTCCGGAGTGACTTTATTACTGGGCTAAAAGGGTGTCCGGGGGCCATAGTCTCAGGGTTTCTCCAGTCTCTGTCAGGGCAATAAGTTTGGTCTTTTTTTGTTAGAATTTTGTTCTGCATTTTTCTCCAGCTCTGTCCGGGACCCTCTATTGTGATCCCTATCAGAGCAGTCAGCGGTGGTAGCTGGGCACCATCTAGTTGCACTGGACTCAGTCTAGTAGAGGCTGCGGTAGTTGCGGTCCATTAGTCCTTTGGACTAATCTTTCTGTTGTGTCTTTAGTTTTCTTCATTTTCCCTTGCTCCTGAAGGGGTGAGACCAGTGGAGTATCTTAGATGGCTGCTCACAGGCTTTTAAGACCCCAGACACTACTCACCAAAGTAGAAGGTAGAACATTTTCTTTATAAACTATGTTATGCCAATTGTGCTAGATATTCCCTGAGACCATGGACCCCACAGCCCTCATCCCAGTAATTCGATCCCTCAGGGAGTTTGGATTTGTCCGTGGAGTTTCCATGACCTCACTCTGAACAAGTTGTGCTGACTTCCCCAGTATTGTGTACTGTCTTACCCTTCACCAAATACCATTTGTCTATTCAGTGCCTTTCCACCCCCACTCCTCCCCTCCCTCTTAATCATCAAAGACTGTTTTTTTTGGGTGTGTGTAAATCTTTTCCTGAGTTTTTATAGTAGTGGTCTGATACAATATTTGTCCTTTTGTGATTGACTTATTTCACTCAGCATAATGCCTTCCAGATTCATCCATGTTGTAAAATGTTTCGCAGATTCATCATTGTTCTTCAGCGTTGTGTAGTATTCCATTGTGTATGCAGCATAGTTTGTTTATCCATTCATCTGCTGATGGACATTGTCATGGATTGAATTATGTCTCCCCAAAAATGTGTGTATCAATTTGGCTGGTCCATGATTCCTGGTATTGTGTGATATTCCTATTAGCTGTAAATCCTGCCTGTATGATGTTAATGAGGGAGGATGGGTGGCAGTTGTGTTAGTAAGGCAGGACTCAATCTACAAGATTGGATTGTGTTCTGAGGCAATCTCTTGAGATATAAGAGATATAAGAGAGAAGTGAGCAGAGAGACAGGGGGACCTCATACCATCAAGAAAGCAGTGCTGGGAGCAGAGTGTGTCCTTTGGACCTGGGGTCCCTGCACGGAGAAGTTCCTAGTCCTGGGGAACATTGATGAGAAGGCTGACAGATGGAGAAAACCTTCCCCTGGAGCTGATGCCCTGAATTCGGACTTTTAGCCTACTTTACTGTGAAGAAATAAATTTCTCTTTGTTAAAGCCATCCACTTGTGGTATTTCTGTTATAGCAGCACTAGAT